TTCTAAAATTAAAAATATCAGTTAATTTCAGCACAATGAGTTAAAAAATATGTGACTACTTATTTACATAACAGGAACCAAATGTGTACAAATTTAAATATGCACTCATTTGGACATTAGTTCCAAAAATATATTTAATTATTTGAAATTAAATATTTAGATTATTTTAAATGCTAAATGTGTAATACACTTTTCTTTTAGTAAAAAAGATGAAAGTTACATAATTATTTATAAATATCAATTTTCCAATAATGCTTATCTTTCATGCCTGCTCATAAAGATAATCATACAAACTACTATTCAAATGGCTGACTGCGAGAAAGTCTTAAGTGCTATAACAAGGTTATTTTAATCAAACACGCATTTCTAGTTTCTCTCCAAATTGCATACAGTTTCCTAAGAAAATTCACCATGAGAGAAGATTGCTAGAATACGTAATATATGCTTTATTCTTCTGAAAAAAAGGAGAAAGAATTGAATAGAAAAGCTGGATTGTGAGAGAAGACAAACACCTTTTGAGTTTAATGTGCGTGAAATTGTATGCCTCCCAAGAAAGACAATTTGTCAGCAGGACACAAAGTAAAGATTCTTTGCTCAGAAATACTCTGAGAAGGTAGTTAGTCGTTTTATTGTTTTCTCTCTAACACAAGTTATCCTTGTAACCCTGCTGAATGAAGGCAGCTCTAGATGCCACAATTTCAATCTCAAATCAGGTCAGAAGGGAAGGAGGCAGGGTGAGAAGAAGAAGAAAGATGGAAGAACAAAAATGTGTCACTGGTAAAAGTGAGGTTTAACCTCTTGAATATTTGGGTCATCTCCTGGGGAGAAAATATCCACTAAGGAAGAATATCAAACCTCCTAAGAAAAGGCAGAGGCTACAAAAGTCACACTGGAACTGAGGTGTGCCAGGAAGAGAGAAAAGTATTGATTCATCTGTTCTAAATTTTGTCAGAAAAAGTGTGTCTGTGAACCCAAACAAGAAAATACAGAATAGACCTAAGAAGGTAAGACTTATAAAAGATTCAATATAACTTCAGTAATTCCAAAAAATGAGTACAAAACACTCAAAGAAGGTGGTCTCAGTCAAGAGTTTAAAAACTAGTTCTTATTTTCTTTCTCACTGGCATCTTAAAAGTCACATCATTTTGATTGATTCAAGCTATGACCCCTCTAAAATTGTCATTGTTCAATTATGTACCTATTTAGCGACTCCTAAAATTCTGTGCAAGAATTACTGCAAGATTTCTCAGATACTTTAAACATTACTTCTCTTATATGATACAATAAACTTTATTGACTCTGTCTATATTACCTTTAATATGTTTCATTATTATTATGTTTTTCTATAAATTTTGTTTTTCTACATTTTTTCCATGAAAAAGTCTCACTTTAAAAATGGATGCTGGCATGCAAACACACACACACACACACACACACACACACACACACACGCACACACAAAGTATGTCTAAAGAAAAAAAATCAATAATAATGTTTCTTCCACATACCAATATTAAGAATAAAACATTCATAAATTCTAAATATATTACTATAAACACTAAAGTTTGTGGCCATAAATAAGTCCAAAATAGAAATGGATATTACTAAACTGTAAAACAAAAAGAAACCAACATTGTTTGTTCAATTGTTTAATGAGAAAATTTTCCAACATTAATATTAAATCCTAAGCATAAAGTTTCCCTCACACTAATGAAATAGCAATCTCTTATCAAGAATCATAAAAATATCATTAAGCACGTGGATTTTCTCTAATACAATTAAAAATAACTATTCTTACTTAGGAGCCTCATTCTAAATTGCAAGTAGTATTTTCCAGGTACAAACTAGTTACACCATAAAGTTTCACAAAGTAGAGAATAAAAGTTTGCCGTGATTCAGCTGCTTTAAGAAAAAGAACAAAAAACACCTTAAAAATAAATAGGCAAAGGACTAACAAAAAGTGTCTGCTCCCTTGAAGTGCTTCCTTTCACCACATGCCATTAATGTATTGATGAAAATTATGAGTTAAAAACACTATAGGAGATTAAATAGCTTATGAAAATATAAATAAAAAACAATTATTGAGAGAAATACAACTAGGTCCTTAAAAAGAGGTACTAGAAACAGAATCAAATCTAGTCTTTGCCATTCTCTAGCTAGTCTACATTTTACATGGAACATTTCACTTAATCTACTGAACTTCAGTTTCCTCTTTAGAAAAATGGTAATACATGTAACAGGGAGGATCTTGTGAATATTAAATAAACTATGCATGTAAACACTATCCATGAAGAAAATGGCATGTGGTTAAGTGTCAATAAACTATAACTATTTTAAATAAGTAAATCTTTTCACCATTTAAGAGTCATGATTTTATGCTTAAGAAAGGAAAAACAGCTCAGTGTTGTTATAAATCAGGATTTATTAATAGATAGGGGAATATATACAAGGTGAGATACAGGAAAAAGACCTAGATTTTAATCAAGTAATCAGACTATATTCTAAACCCAATGATATAGTTTTATGTCTGTCCCCTCCAAATCTCATGTTGAAATGTGACCTCCAGTGTTGGAGGTAGGCCACATAGGACGTGTTTGGGTCATAGAGGCAGATCCCCCATGAATGGTTTGATGCCCTCTCCATGGTAATTAGTTCATATAAGAAGTGGTTATTAAATAGAGTCTGGGAGTTCCCTGTCTTGTCATGTGATGTACCTGCTCCCCATTCACCTTATGCCATGAGTAAAATCTCCCTGAGGCCTCAACAGAAGCTGAGTATCTACTCAGCATCTTCAAGATACTTCTACTCAGTATGCTGGTGCTATGCTTGTATGCCCTGCAGAATCATTAGCCAAATAAACATCTTTTCTTTCTAAATTACCCAGTCTGAGCTATTCCTTTATAGCCACACAAAACAGACTAAACAAACACACCCATGCTCTCTGATTTCTGGTTCTTTCTCATAAACCAATCTACCTTTCAAATAAGTCACTATATTTTATTTTATGATTTATACTTTCTTTTGGATTATTTTCTTTTCAAATCGTGCTAAGTTTATTAAATGAATTCGAATTCTGCATTACACTTTGAACTAAACATACTCCAGATAATTTAAACAGACACGATCAGGCTACAACTTATAAATTAAACCAGTATATAAACTGGCAAGTGGTATACCTGATTTATAGTTCTTATTTAATGAAATTATCAGGTAAATATTTTTATATAATATAGACATATTAATAAGGCAGTCAGTAAACTTTCAGGATTATCAGAATTCTATAAATATAGGATATTAAGGAACCAAATTGCCTATCTCCAAAAATTTATGAGAGAGAGGAAATCTGTGGTAAACCATAATCCTTTTATGCAAAAGTGTATGAGCAAGTTCTTACTTATATTAAAGTGATTTAAGTAGACGATGTTTCAGAATGAGTTTGGCAGAGGATTTTGAAGTGGCTATCCTCAAAGACATTCTAAAGGAATACAGGAAATGGAAGAGACAGCTGTGAAATTCTTTAATTTAAAAAAATTATGATAAAATCTACAATCTGAAATTTTACTTCAGCTTTTATGTTTCAAAATATGAACATAAAAATATGAATGTAAGTTTGCTAAAACTGTCTTTAAAAGCAAGGTACACCTTACTGGATTTCTAAATAAAATACCTTTGTAGAACACAGTCTTTATATTTCACAAAGGTCTTATTATGCAACCTAAGTATAATTGTCCCAATTCCAAGATGGTTTACACTTTTTATTTCTTTAAAATATAACTAGTGAACAATAATGGTCAGTAGGGGCTTTATCTTTTCATAGAAGGGCCTACAGAGATAACAGTAGTATAAGAATCATAACCTAAATGAGATATTGACAGATCCTGTACTTTAAGGTGTTTTCATAATGATGAAGATCAGCTTACAAAACTTAACAAGATGAACTGTCTCTAATCATTCATTCTATCAATGAAGCTAAATGAAATGTTGTCTCAACTGTTTTCATTATTATTTTAAATTTTCAATTCATCTCTTATTGGCAAAATTTCTATTATTGAAGTATGTATACTTCCAGCTCATGAATAATGTCCTGCCTCTTTAATAAGCATGAATGAGGCAAGCCTAGAAGTATCTTTACAAAAGTAAACTTGCTGATCCCTAGATACATTGCTTCTTATGAAACATCAAAGGAAGTTGAAACCTAGGATTTGTTTTTGATGCCAGGTGTTTTCTATTGCTGGGATGAGCTGCATATCTATTATGAGAATACATAATTTTCTGAGTGATTTTTCACTAAGAATCTGATAAGTTAACAAGCTAGATACATTTTTTTTGAGATGGTGATTCTTATTTTGAGTGGGAAAGTCAGAAAATGTTTTATTTTATATTTTTTGATTCTTCATTATTCCTGAAGAAAAAAATATGTTGTTGACATATACCATATCCGATAAAAACATCGCAAAGACATACTTCTTGAAACTATACAACATATAGTCTAAAGAGTAATTTAGTTATTTTAATCTTTATATTTTCTTTCCATCTGGTCTACTCTCTCTAGATGAGAATATTTCTATTTCTCAAAATGCTGACAGCAGATGAAGCTTAGATATATTTTTTCTATCAAATTTAAAATTTATCAATTTCTACATATTACATATACAATTGTATTGTTCATGTTCACTTCTTATCTGCTTGGACCTGGAGGATTGGTATAACACTCCCCCAACCTTTTTCTAAATGTTTAATATTCTTGCATTAATTAAGAAAAGTATGTTAGAATAGGTACTCATATACAAAATGATGAAAAGTAAATTCTGTAGGACAGGGTAGGAAATATCTAATTCTTCTGATGGCAGAGAGGGTTTATAATCCTCAAAAATTAATATTAGCCCATTTTTTAATTAAATTTATGTGATTTATGTTTTCATAGAGAATATTTGTCAATGCATGCAAAACACAGTTTAATATTTTTTCTCTTTCCAAGAAAAGTACAGGAATATACATACTGTAAGGGACACATTCATACTGCACTTCAAGGTATTTATAGGTTCCTGGACACGGGTCTGGAAAAACATCAGGACCTGCCACCACTGCACACTGGGTTCTGTTATTGCATCTGAAGTCAAAAGAAAGGAAAAGAGTAGTAAGCTTATGCAAAGTTAATTATCAACATCAACACCGATTTTATTTTAGTTCCTGTTATACAGATTTAAATAAGGTTTTGCTTGATTTTGGGCTTTGGGCCTATTAAGAAAAAAATCGGTAGTGCACTTTTTAAAAACTAGACATTAAAATCAAACTATACAGCTTGCTATTAACTAATTTAATATTTGGTTGAATACAGCATGATTTCTAGTTAGAAGTTAAATATTGCTGAAGAAACACTAACTAGTCCACAGGATACTGCCAATGTGAACACAAGTAGGAAAGACTATTTGATAGGAAAGACTCAGTCCAGTACAAAAAAAAAAAGTATTTTAGAAAATATAACCACATAGTTTATTAGGCAGTTGTAAAATAAATTCACTGACTATGATGACATTCATTTTATGAAATGAATTCCTAAATTCATTTCATAAAATGAATGTCATCATAGTATGAAAAGTGGTACTGAAAAGCTTTATCCAAGCCTAACACATTAGAAAAGTATTAATATTTAACTATTAAAATGGATATTTGAATTTATTTTGTGTAAATTATATAATATTACTACTGATTAAAACCATTTTAGGAATTAATTGTTAGGTTCTTTATGTTCAGTCAAATAATGATATGATCCTCATGGATTGCTTATTACAAGTGCCAATATCTCATCATTTAATATAATGACTTTAAATTTATAAAAAAGAATAATGACATACCACTATTAAAACATAAATATAAGACAGAACTGGAGTTTATCATGTTAAGTGAAATAAGACATGCAGAAATAAGAAAGGTGCAGAAATCAAGGTTTACATGTTCTTATTTATGGGAGCCATTGAACTCACAGAGGTATAAGGTAGGAAGATGGCTATCAAAGGCAGGGAAGGGTAGTGAGGAGTAGGGAGGGCAGGAAGTGAGGATGACTCCTGGGTATAAGAGTGGTTAGAAAGAATGAATAAGACCTAGCATCTGACAGCACAATTGGCGCTATCAGATCTGATGGCACAACTATGATTGACTAGAGTCAATCATAACTTAATTGTACAATTAAAAATAACTAAATGTATGTAATTGGATTGTTTGTAGCACAAATGATAAATACTTGAGGTGATGAATACCCCATTTACCCTGATGTGATTATTACACATCGAATGCCTTTCTCAAAACATCTCATGTTCCCATAAATATATACATCTACTATAAGCATACAAAAATAAATAAACAAACAAATAAAACCACAGAAAAAGAAAAAAAAAACATAAAAACAAACGGGCACTTTTGTGGCAAATAGGCTAAACAAATCTGAATTGATTAATTCATGGTAAAAAAGAAACATGTTAAAATTATTTATAATTCTGAAAAGGATATCCATATTCACAGTGGACTAATTACTGTGAATTTCACTCAGAAACTTTCTAAATTCAAAAATTTATCTTTACGTATATTTTCTATAGAAAAGTAATGACTTTTTCTACCCTTAATATTGGCACTAAGTATATAATACGAGATACTCTAATCATCCCGTGTTTTATATTCTTGTTTATTTATTTCAGAAATATAATACCTCAGGGCTAGATTTTTCTGTTAATTCCTGAAGGAGATGTTCTGTTCTCTGACATGACCTCAGAATACTTGCAAGGTTACTGGCAACATAAGGAGCATCTAGAGCATAACTCACTTTGATTTAGTGTGAAAATACATTGTGTTTACCTGAGGCTACCATTTGTCAGGTTTAATGAGGATTTTGTTTAGTCTCTAAATTAAATTTGATTCATTAATGAATGTCTTAAGCTGAAAAATATATTCTGTATTATTCCTAAAAGATGAATAAAAAACAATATTCCATAATCATCAGGCAATTTAGCCTAACAGTTAATCCTGAGGGTTAACACATGATAAGGTTTTCCTATGTCAGAGGCTGATGATCAGATAAATGTATAATAACATTAAGGTAAATGTAGTTGTCCTCACACATGCACCGCAAATACGTTACTTTGATGTTTTGGTGTACTGATACTTTTTTTTGACAAGCTGATCTTTCCTATTACAAAGAAATTATTTGAAGAAAACATGTCAAGTCAAGTGACATGTTTTTAGCAATTAAAACAATACAATTTTCACATTACGCCTTAAATAAATAACCTCATAAATCTATCTCAGGTTTTTAATACAATAGGCAGGGATATAAACTCATAAAGTTATTTTTGTTTTTGTCATAGAAAATTAGCAATTATCAGGAACACATTCAAAGTAGACATAATTGAAAAGTGGCACTATAAAACTTAATACATATATTCAGTAAATGCAATATTAATTCTGATGTGAATATATACATACACACACACACACACACATATCTCATTTTTTTACTATCTTGGTCTACAGTCATTTTATTCCCCATTATTCACCTTGTAAATTACTACAGTTCTAATTTAAAAAAAATTATTTAGAAGCAATATCTACTCTTGTAATTTTCAAACATAAACAGGCAACTATAAACCTTTTATTTAAATAATCAACATATGTTATAATCAGAACAGCTTACTACTCATTTCTGACTAGAGCATTTACTAATTTCTTACTAGAGCATTTATTAAAATTTACAATTATGAAAATATATGTTGCAAACAAAGTCGTGTTGAATCAATCGGGATTTCAAATGGTTATGTTTTTATAGATTAGATTAGAAAACAATCTGGAGTCTATGCATATCTATTTATCTAAATGCGCATCAACAAATTCACATATTATATACTATCAAGTTGTAAAATACTATTTATCTATATGTAAGAAAATTGTAAAAGCAACTATGTGTTGTAAATATTAGTTACCATTGTGAGTTCTAAATTGCTTATTTAATATTAACCAAAGATGAGTCAAGAAAGCCTTTAATTAATGAGATAGTATCTGTTAAGTTGTATATAAAACAAAAAATGTTATGCCTATAATATATTTATAGTCATTATCATCATTGTTCTATATAAAACAGCAGTAATTTATAACACTCACCTTTCAAAATAATTTATGATTCTATTACTATGTTTGAAATATTCTTTATAAATGATGATTATTAAAAATAAAAAGGAAAAAGGTAGATTCAATCTCTGGAAACTATTTTTATATAGGATACATTATAATATAGATTGTTTGAAGACTAGCTATATTTTGAAAACAAGAGTTTAAAGGTTCTGTCCTTTACTTGGCTTTCTTTTTTAACATGACTTCAGTTACTGTGAGTTAAAATAAATTGAGATATAATTAAAGAGTTGTAAACAATTTAGTCCACAAAGACTCAATTTATAGTTATTCCAAAAATTTTAAAATACATTCTAAAATACTATAGATGAAAAAAAGTAAGATAAAGTAATCTAATGTTCTCAAATGCTTTAAAGTTTCATCATTTATTTTTAATGTAAACATTGAAACAATAAATTTAAAACATGCTTTTTAGTATCCCTCATACCTGGTGTTTTGAAATATGTATACACTATAAAATGATGACCACAATAAAGCTAATTCATATACCCTTCATCTCACAGTTATCTTTTACTGTGTTGTGTGGTGAGAAAATTTAAGATTTACTCTCATAGAAAATTTCAAGTATAAAACACAGTATTGTTAACTGTGGTTATCTGGCTGTACAGTAGATTTCCAGAATTGATTCTTCCTACATAACTAAAACTTTTCACCCTTTGATCAACATCTCCCCATTTCTCCTATCTCCCTAGCTCCTGGCAACTGCCATTCTACTTTCTGCTTCTAGAAGTTTGACTTTCTTAGATTCCACATATAAGCAAGATCAAATAGTATTTTTCTTTCAATGTCTCACTTATTTCACTTAGCATAATGTTCTCCAGGTTCATACATGTTATCACAAATGACAGAGTTTCTTTCATTTTCAAGGCTGAATAATATTCCACTATATATTTAGGTATATCTCATTTACTTATTATCCATTCATCTGCTGATAGGCAGCTAGGCCAATTCCATATATCTTGGTTATTGTGAATAGTACTGCAAGGAAGATGAGTCTACAGATACCTCTTTAAGATACTGATTAATTTCTTTTACATGTACATACCCAGAAGTGAAACCCCTGGATCATATGGTAGTTCTATTTTTAATTTTTTGAAGTACCTACGCACAGTTTTCATAATGGCTATAATAATTTACATTTCCATCAATAGTATATAAGGATTCTCTTTTCTCTACATTCTCATCAACACTTATCTTTTGTCTTTTTGATTATAGCCATCCTACCAGGTGTGCAGTTGTATCTCATTGTGGTTTTGATTCACATTTCCTTGATGTTTTATGAAGTTGAGCACTTTTTATATACCTGTTGGCCATTTGTCTTCTTTCAAGAAATATTTATCATTTTTAATTACAGATAGACTTAGTCCACTTTTAAATTAGGTTGTTTTCTTGCTATTTAGGTGTTTAAATTCCTGATATACATTGGATATCAACCCCTAAATAAATGTGTAGACCAATTGTACAGAAGAGATATCCCAGAAATTAATCAACATGTTTATGGTCAATTAATTTTCAACAAAGATGTCAAGAATACACAATGAGGAAAAGGATAGACTCTTCAATAAAGGATGTTGGGGAAACTGGATATCGACCTGAAGAAAAATGAACTGGATCTCTAATTTACACCATGTACAAAACCCAACTCAAAATGGATTAAAGATTTACATGTAAAACCTAAAACTATAAAACTATTAGAAGAAAACATAAGTAAACACCTTCTTGAAATTGATCTGGGCACTTTTGGGGGGGAATATGACCCCAGAAGCAAAAGTGAAAAAAACAAAAATAAAGAAATTGGAGTGCATCTAATTACAAACCTTCTGCACAGCAAATAAAACAATTAGCCAAGTGAGGACACAAGTTACAGAATGGCAGAAAATACTTTTAAACCTATTTGTCACTTCTTTCTGAGATGAATAATGCTACCCTCAATTT